TCGGTCTCGTTTTCATAGCCAAAGTATATGTTGATGTGCCCACTGGGCCTGTTCAGCTAAACTTCTGTCTTTGCTCTCTAGCACCAATATTAAAGCGTTCTTTAAAAACAAAACAAAGTTTAAAAAATGCTTTATAAGGCTGGTGGCAGACAGAAATGGAGGAGTAGGGCTGTAAAGAGAAATACAAGTCAAGCATTTTTCTTGTATCAAACAGAGCTGTGTTTTCTAGAGTTCCCATAGCTAAAGCACACTTGTTTTCCCTGACTTTAAGCTAGATACATGTTTCACGCTTACATCCAGAAAGGCTTCCTTTCAGAATATGCCAAAGGAACCACCACTGCCCACTCCTATGGACATCCATGTTTCCTTCTAGAGTTTCATTGGGCCCCTTTAGAAAAGAACGATGCCCAGAGCAATGCTTGTAGAGTGAAAAGGAGTGCAGGACCTGAAGATGTATTGCTATGGGCATTATATAAAAAATCAATGTCCAAGAAGCTGGGAGATGTCATTCAGCAACATCTAGAGCAGAGCCTTCTAAACATTTCATGTTGGTGACATACATTTTAGACATGTGTCATTTCGCAACACAGTAATTCAGTTTTACTAGCAAACGAGAAGTTAAAGCAAACCCTTCTTCTAGCACACTGACATTTGTCTGCTTGTCTTCCCAAGAGATTTGCAGGATTTTTCAGAGGCAACGCTGATAGAATCATTCTAGGAGTTGCATGTGACGTCTGTAGCCTGTCCATGTCTCGCAGGTGTATAGCAGGGTTGGGAGGACAATAGCTTTATAAACAAGCACCTTGGAATCCCTATGGATGTCCTGGTCCTCAATCACTCTGTGTTTCATTTGGAAAAATGCTGCACTCGCAGAGCTCAGGCAATGTTGTATTTCGGTGTCAATGTTGACTTTTGTGGAGAGGTGGCTGCCAAGGTAGCAGAAATGGTCAACATTTTCTAATGTTACACCATTAAGCTGTATTTCTGGCATTGGAGAGGGACTGGCTGGTGACTGCTGGAAGACCACTTTGGTTTTCTCAATGTTCAATGACAGGCCGCGAAGGTGTTTAGAGTAACTTGTAGGTCTTCTTCTGAATGCACACACACAACATTGTCATCAGCATATTGGAGTTCTATAACAGACCATTCTGTTTCTCTCCTTTGTAAAATGGATATATGGGCCTTCACTCTTTCTCTGGCAGAGCTATAGCAGGTTTCCTGCACCAGGACTCAGGTTCTTCCCAGAGTTAAGACAGATCGGACACCCACAGCTGGTTCCTACATCTGAACAGCCATGTCGTACTCCCAAGACTGCAGTGACCTGGGGGCACAGGATGGCTGTCCACTCTTGTCCCTTCCCCCATATAGCCGATGGCTACAGCAATGGCCTACCTTATGTTGGGTGGCTCTTTTTTTCCTTCCATGGTTTTTGACTCATGAAGGAAAATGGAAGGCAGGAATGGGAGCTCTGTATGTTCACGGTTATAACCGAGATGTTCTATTACCATAACTTCAGATAATAAAGTCCAAAGGGGCACCAAAAGCTTTTATTTTCCTCCCATCTATCTCTCACAGGTTTACATGGGCTGTAGACATTGTCAGGAGGAAGGTTTGCAAAGCCAAGCTGAGCAGTCAATAGAGGAAGGGACTTTAGGTGATGAACAAAGGAAATGAGTGGGTAGACTTTGCTGGATTCTCACTCTCTACTGTGTGTTTGCAAATTTTTTAGATAGAAGTTTCATATGACTGCAGAAAATTGGAATTAATCTGCCTGCCCTACTTGGAGTCCAGGATGAATTTGCTTTCACCAAAGCATTTCTCTTTCTCTCCTAATCTATTACTTCCTCAACACTATAGCTCAGTGGTTCCAAACTTTCTTTTAACCAGGGATCACTTTGACCAGGAACCACTCTCCAACATTAGCACCAAAAGGGTTATGAATCAGTTTTTGGTCAGCTTTAGATTTGGTTTGGTTATTTGGGGTGCTGATTCAGAAAATTGCATTGGATAGACCACATCAGCTCTAGTTTCTGATGCAGAACATATGTCATCCAGTAGTCACCATCTGCTCGCCCACAGAAAACCATATTTAATAAGTCTCAGCACTATAAGAGGATTTGAGAGACCAGTCGCTCTTGTTGCAACGGTGAGGCTGCGGACCATATTTTAGTTCTTGAAGACCACTGGAGGTCCACGGACCACAGGTTGGGAACAACTGCTATAGCTACTGCTGTTGTTGTAGCCTTTTCATCAAGGAAATGTTAAAGCTTTTCAAAACAGTTGCATTTTTGGAAAGTTAAAATTAAAATTAAATGTTATGAATGTTCTTTTATTTTCCATCTCTATGTAGGCAGGATCAGTCAATATGAGTTTTCAGGACATGGAAGTGAAGTTCAAATGGATACATATTTTATCAATATAATTTTAAAGAAAAAAATGACCTCAAATCATGGCAAGAACATGCTATAATGTGTTGAAGATGTGAGAGATTTGAAACTAAAAGGGAACCAATGCAACACACTCCCTGGGAGATGTTTGCATGGTTAGTTAATATGGCCTTAACTAGAGGTAGGGTTTATTATCACATACTAATCAGAAAGACTTGGACTACTAATAAGGACTATTCAACAGACAATTGATGCTATGAATGTGTCGAAGGCTTTCATGGCCAGAATCACTGGGTTGTTGTGTGTTTTCTGGGCTGTATGGCTATGTTCCAGAAGCATTCTCTCCTGATGTTTTGCCTGCATCTATGGCAGACAACCTCAGAGGTGGTGAGGCCTCTTGGAAACTAGGAAAATGGGGTTTATCTATCTGTGGAAACATCCAGGGTGAGAGAAGGAACTCTTGCCTGTTAGAGGTAGGTGTGAATGTAGCAATTGGCCACCTTGCTTAGCATTGAATGGCTTAACAGTTTTCAAGGTCTGCATTCTTACTGCCTGGGGGGATCCTTTGTTGAGAGGTGATTAGTTAGCCTTGATTGTTTCTTGTCTGGAATTCCCCTGAGTTTTGAGTGTTGTTCTTTATTTGTTGTTATGATTTTTGAGTGTTTTAATACTGGTAGCCAGATTTTGTTCATTTTCATGGTTTCTTCCTTTCCTGTTGAAATTGTCCACATTTTCCTGAAGATTAAGAGAGTGGGTCTGATTTCCTTGGGGAGGGCATTCCAGAGTTAGGAGGCCACAATCGAGAAGGCCCTCCCCCTTGTCCCCACCAACCTCACTTGTGAGGGTGGTGGGATTGAGAGGAGGGCCTCCCTGGCAGGTCTTAAGGCCTGAGCAGGTTCACAAGGAGAGATGCGGTTGAGTAAATAGGCAGGACGCCAACCATATAGGGCTTTGTAGGTAATAACCTGCACTTTGAATTGGGTCGGGAAGCTGCTTTAGGAGTGGGGTTATACGTTCCCTACAATCCACCCCCGTCAGCAGTCTGGCTGCAGATCTTTGCACTAATTGAAGCTTTCAGACTATCTTCATAGGCAGCCTCACGTACAGTGCATTGCAATAATGCCCCCCGCCCACCTCTAGAACTCCCTTCCTAAGGAGTTAAAGATGCCCTCCCTGTTCCAAAAAACAGCTGAAGACATTTCCGTTGTTTCCTAAAGGAAAGGAGGGAGGACGCTGATCTGATCTTGCTGGGGAGTGAGTTCCACAAGCGGGGGGTCACCACTGAGAAGGCTCTGTCCCTCGTCCCCACCAGATGCATTTGCGAGCAGGGCATCTTAAACTACGAGGCGGAACGTAGAGGGAGATACGTTCAGACAAGTAAGCTGGGCTGGAGCTGTATAGGGTTTTATAGGCCAAGACCACCACTTTGAATTGTGCTTGGAACTGGAGCCAGTGGAGTTGACATCTGTGACATCAGTGAGCAATCTGGCTGCTGCCCCTTGGGACTAGTCAGGTATGTAGCTGGGGGGGGGGGGGTGGGAGAGCGCCCCCCCCCCCCAAATTCTCATGGTGGTTCGTGAAAAGGCCTTACTGGTGCATTATTTAAGCTGTTATGTTTATTCATATCATGATCTGATCACCATACTCAATATATCCCATATGCATGGGGGTATTGGGGTAAGGATACAAAAGGTTTGCTAGGCTAGACCCTCTTTCACTCAGACTTAGCCCCCACCCCCCTCCCAATCAAAATCCTCGCTACAGGCCTGGGACTAGTTGAGGTTTCTGAACAGTCTTCAAAGGTAACCCCACGTAAAGTGCATAGAAGTAATCTAATTGGGATGTAACCAGAGTGTGGACCACTGTGGCCAGATCAGACTATCCAAGGTAGGGGCGCAGCTGGCGCACAAGCTTTAACTGTGCAAAAGCTCCCCTGGCTACCACCTACACCTGAATTCAACAGCCCTTTGAAGGCAAATCCTTGAGGCAGATGGGACCCTGAATGAGCGTGGTGGTGTGCTTGGAAGGCTCTTGGCCAGTTGTGTGGTGGTGGTGGAGGAGTAGGAGGAGGAGGGGGAAGAGGAAGAGAGGGAAGATGAGAAGGAGGAAGAGGAGGAGGAGGAAGAGGAGGAGGAGGGGGAAGAGGAGGGGGAAGAGGAGGAAGAGGAGGAGGAGGGGGAAGAGGAGGAGGAGGGGGAAGAGGAGGAGGAGGACGAGGAGGAAGAGGGGGAAGAGGAGGAGGAAGAGGAGGAGGAGGGAGAAGAGGAGGAAGAAGGGGAAGAGGAGGAAGAGGGGGAAGAGGAGGAGGAAGAGGAGGAGGAGGAGGAAGAAGAGGACGAGGAGGAGGAAGAGGAGGAGGAGGAAGAGCCAGGAGCGCCTGGACAGCGAACATTCTTCAGCGAGCCTTAGAATGAAGACTCGAAGGGGCGGGGCGAGGACCATAGACGAGCCAATCGGGGGGGGGGGGGCTAGGCTTGAGATTGGCAGCACAGCTGTTTGGGGCAGGCCCCCTCCTACTGCTTCCAAGGGGCGTACAGGCAGAGACATCCACTGGACGGGGCTGGCTTGGCTCCCGGCTGGCTCTTCCCGCTCCCTCCCCCCCTCCGTCCTCCCCCCTCCCTGGGCGCGAGAGGCAGGCGGCGCGCTGACTGATCTGGCGAACAGGGGCTTCTGTGTAAACTGAGGCTAAACAAACACAGATGGCTCCCGCGGCGTGCCTTCCCCAAAAATGCTGGCAATGCGGCCGGGACTTCAGATGACAGGCTGAGCCGGAGGGGAGAAGAAGGCGGCGAGCAGCGGACGGCAAGAGAGCGGCGGGAGAGAGGGCAGAAAGCGAGGCAGCGGGCGGGCTCGGAGGATGAAGAACATGCAGCTGGCGGAGGCAGAGGCGGCCGAGGCGGCGCGGTGGAAGCGGCTCTGCCTGCAGGAGCTGAGCGGCATCAAGAAGCTCCGGAGGAAGAGCCGGGAGCCCGCCAGGCTGCCCCTTCCTCCTCCTCCCCCTCCTCCTCCTCCCCAAAGGGAGCCCGAGGGCGCGGTGGATCTCCGGCGGGGGCGGCCCTTCCCCACGGCGCTCCTCGGCCCCCCATCGCCCCCCGGGAAGGAGGCGCGCCTCCGCCCCGACCAGCCGCCGCCGCCGCCGTCGAGGATGGCGCTTTGCCCGCCGCCGCCTCAACTGGAGAGCCCCTTCCCGCCGGGCTTCTCTTCCGCCGCCCGCCCGGAGCCCCCTCGCTCTCCTTCCCCGCCTCGGAAGCGGCCCGGGGACCCTCCGGGCGCCTCGTCGGAGATCAAAGCCCTGCAGCAGACGCGGCGCCTCCTGGCCAACGCCCGCGAGCGCACCCGCGTCCACACCATCAGCGCCGCCTTCGAGGCCCTGCGCAAGCAGGTAAGCGGGCGCGCGCATGCGCACGGGGAAGGGGCCACGCGACACCCCGGGGAGGGAGCACAGAGAGAGGCAGAAGACTGTCCCCAAGCACCCACGGCAGAATCCCCAAAGCATCCTCTGCACAACAGATTCGTGTCGTGGTCAAAAACAGCCACTAGGTGGCGTTCGGAAAACTTGCCACTTTTTTTAGGATAACATTGCGCTAAGGCTAATGATGCTGGGGGGAAAGGAAGGAAAAAGGAAGAAGGCAATCCTTGAAGTTACAGGCTTGACCTTGAAGGAGCTGGGGGTGGTGACGGCCAACAGGGAGCTCTGGCATGGGCTGGTCCATGAGGTCACGAAGAGTCAGAAGCAACTAAATGAATAAACAACAAGGCATGGGGCAAACTTGGGTCCTCCAGGTATTTTGGACTTCAGCTCCCATAGTTCCTAACAGCCTCATAGAATCATAGAGTTGGCAGAGCCCTCATGGGCTATCCAATCCAACCTTCTGCCAAGAAGCAGGAAAATCGAGTTCAAACTGTGGATGTTAGTGGGTTGCTGTAGGTTTTTCCGGGCTATATGACCATGCTCTAGAGGCATTTTCTCCTGACATTTCACCTGCATATATAAACGCTTTTTCTTAGTTCCAACAGACCTCACTACCTCTGAGGATACTTGCCATAGATGCAGGCGAAACGTCAGGAGAGAATGCCTCTAGAACATGGCCATATAGCCCGGAAAAACCTACAGCAACCCAGTGATTCCGGCCATGAAAGCCTTCGACAATACATTGAGCATCTCTATGTGGATGTTAGGTTTAAAATAACAGTTAAGAGGCAATAAATACAATTAAAACGCCTAATGCCCCCTCAAAGAAATCCCACCAACAACCTCCCTAGCAAACCTGTTTTAAGTCCAGGTTATTTGAAGGAGCATCTCTCTCTGTACAAACAACTTAGAAATCTGCAACCCTCTGGGGAGGACCTTCCCTCCGTCCCACTACCTGCTGAAGCGCTTTACTGGAAACATGGATGCCTTTTCCATGGATGCTCCCAGTCTGTGGAATTCCTTCCCGAGAGTGACCAGGATGGCCCCATTCCTCCTGCTGGCCTTCCATAAGCAGCAATATACATAGCTGGGGAGCTTGTGGGCAGAATTTGGGGAAGATACTAAGTTTTTAAAAAATAACTTCAATTGTTTATATTACATTTCAATTGTATTTTAACTTTATATCCAGGCACTAATATTTAATTGTTTTTTATTTTGTTTAATTTGCCGCCTTGAATCCCTATGGGAAGAAAGGTGTGATGACATAAAGTCAGTAATAGTAATAATAGTAATAATATCCGAGACTGGTTGGGGAAATGTGCTCAGTCCATGTCCTCCTTCCTTGTCCTTGCTTGGCATCACCCAAGGTTAAGGCAAAAAGAAATCCGTCCCACTCCTGCACACTGTGTTATCCCCATTAAGGACTGTTCTCAACGGGGATCTCAAAGTGTACAGGAGTGGAATGGATTGCTCTGTTGTTCTTCATTCAGTGACATCTAAGCTGGAGAACCTCTCTTGGACTGTGCTCCGTGAGTCAGAGCCCTCCTCCTGCCCTCATGGCACCCAGAACCTTCCTTCTCTTTTGTGGCTCCCCAGCAGAGTCCCAAATGTCCCTGGCTGATGTCCTCCATCCAACACTGAGCACCAAACTTCTGGCTCCCAGGTCAGTGCTTCCTCCAAAGGTGCTCGGAAGCATCTGTTGACCAGGGAGAGACGTGACCAGCAACCTTGAGAATGTGCAATTTCATTGAAAGGCTGCCCCAAGATCTCAGGTCTTAGTTCCTAATCTGATTATCAGGTTACATAGCTTCGGTTGGGAAGAAAACAGGAGAGGAACATTGGGTTCCCGTGGAGGATCGCTAAACAATGAATGGCATGCAGCTAATTGCGTGACACTCTGTGATTTTGGCTGACCTATGATTGCCTTCCTCCACCCACCTTCATGCCAAAAAAGTAAAGTTGGATGTAACACCGCTATTATCAAAAGTTCACACGGGTCTCATGCCGGGTGTAAATTATATTTTCCTGTTAATCAAATACACCTTCCTGTCAGTTACTAAGCTCTGTGCTCAGAGTATTGTTCTTCCCAAAGTGAAAGCTCTGAAGCTCTAAAATCCAGCTTTATTAGTTGAAAACTCTTCCATCCCTATTGCCCCCTCCAAGTTTTTGCCTCTATGGGCTGCTGAGTACAGTGCAGGGACAGATGGTCTGGGAAAGCAGGTTGACAGACCAATTCATGGTTATTATATGTTTTGGAACCATGGTTTGCCTTGTCTAAAACATCCCAGTCATTATAGTTATAAGGTGTCAACAAAGGGAGACAATGGAGTTAGTGAAACTGCAAGATACCGCACAGCCAGGGTTTTAAATATGGTGTTCCTCTGAAAGATGAGTACAGTGATCTGCCTGTCTTATCTCAAAGATGGAAGGTTGCAGACTGAGAAATGCTTCTTGTGGGTAAGTCTTGCTGAAATTATAGGGCAAAGGGAATGTTTTTCAGACCTTCTTCAGATGAAGAAGGTTTTAAAATCCCACAAATATAATTGTGCTGGTACGACTGTACCAAAAGCTCCAACTTCCTTTTCTTTCTTTGAGTGTTTGCATGTATTCCAAAGTTCCATGCATTTTGCAATAAGGTTGCTTCCCTTGATTTGCAATTATAGGGCCAATGACCCATCAATCATTGTTAAGTTTTGGTTCCACCCCTTTCCCCAGTGCTCTGGGAGGAGAGGGAGCCATTTTAGGACAGTCTTGCATTGGAAAGCTTAGCTACGAGACATGGATTAGCTCCACCTGTAGAGAAGCTTTGTTTCTTACAGCATCCAGGGGAAATTCCGGGGGGAAACAGTTCCAAAGGACTCCAGCTGCAAAATCTACAAAGCCTTGACTGGTAGGTCTACTCGGGACCCAAGAAGCAGTTTGGAGCCAGGAGTAGAGCCCACACCAGCAAAGTTTAGAAAGTAGATTGCCCAAGGAGGGGTTAAAAAGGGTTTTCCTCTTAAAGAAAAGAAACAGTTCACGAAGCCAGTTTCCTGTCCCTTGTGGACAAGATTAAGAAAGCCACCAGTGATTCAAAGCCTTGAAGCGTTTGTTTCATTTGTTAAAAATTTAAGAAGTATTTGATTTTTTTTGTTGAAGGCTTAAGCAATAATAAAGGACTTTGTTAAACCTTTCAAGCTTCTAAAGACTCTGTATAGGAAAATCCGTAGGGCCTCTCACTCGAGGCACCCCGGCTTCCCGTTGGGCACAAAGAGCACGTCCTGTTCAAAAGCCAACTGCTATAGGCCCAGCGCATGACAGCACAATAATCATTGGTATCTTCTTGTTCCCAGGAACAAATACTTGTTGAGGTGAGTGTGCTGATACCTGAGAATAATGTTTCTGGGTTCTCAAGGAACTTCATTAAGCTGAATAGCTTTATACATGATTAAAAAGCCAGAAAATTAACCTTGAAAATTTGTTTTAAATGATTAACTGTTTTAAGTCACTGACATCTTCAATTAAAAAATAGGACTAACCTACATGTATCCACTGTGAGTTCTATCCTGACTATCTTCAAGACATTACACCACTTCTGGAAGGTATAATGAAATAAACCAGGATAATCCGGTATCAGAAAAGTTGGGGGATACTCCAGAATTTGTCTGAAGTTTCAGAGTGAGGCTGGATTTACAATATCAAATAATGCAGCTTCAGAAAGTAATTCAATTGAACTGAATTATATGGCAGTGTAGACTCATATACTCTACTTCAATGGAGTTAACCTGCATTCTGAAACTGTATAAAATGGCAATATAGATCCAACCTAAGTCTGCAGCTGTGGTGCAGTGTCCTATTTGGACTTGGCCCACTGTCCACATAGGGCACAACAACCATCCCTTTTTTGTCTGCACTTATCTGCAAATGGTGATGTCTCATGCACAAATAATTGCGGCTGCCAGTCCAGATGGCTGCCGAGCTCCATGTGAGCTCCTGGTAATTGCAAACATGCCCAAATGACCAGGAAAAAGACGAGAAGATCAACTCCTACCTCTTCCTGATCATGGAAGTGCCTTTGTAGTACAGTACGCCCAATATGGCCAGGAGTTCACACAGAGTTCTGTGGCCATCTGGGAGCAGAAATTCTGAACCAGTGTTGAAGGCGCCTGTCATGTGGTGCTTGGGTGAGAGACATCTGGAATTCCAGCTTCATGTCACACATCACAAAAGAGCAGGCTATTAGTAGATACAGTAGTTTCATACATCATTAGAAAATGACATCTTTTAAAAATTAGCCATCATATAGAATCATAGAGTTGGAAGAGACCTCATGGGCCATCCAGTCCAACCCCCTGCCAAGAAGCAGGAAAACTGCACTCAAAGTACCCCTGACAGATGGTCATCCAGCCTCTGTTTAAAAGCCTCCAAAGAAGGAGCCTCCACCACACTCCGGGGCAGAGAGTTCCACTGCTGAACAGCTCTCACAGTCAGGAAGCTCTTCCTAATGTTCAGGTGGAATCTCCTTTCTTGTAGTTTGAAGCCATTGTTCCACGTCCTAGTCTCCAGGGCAGCAGAAAACAAGCTTGCTTCCTCCTCCCTATGACTTCCTCTCACATATTTATACATGGCTATCATGTCCCCTTTCAGCCTTCTCTTCTTCAGGCTAAACATGCCCAGCTCTTTAAGCCGCTCCTCATAGGGCTTGTTCTCCAGACCATTGATCATTTTAGTTGCCCTCCTCTGGACACATTCCAGCTTGTCAATATCTCTTTTCAATAATGGTGCCCGGAATTGGACACAATATTCCAGGTGTGGTCTCACCAAGGCAGAATAGAGGGGTAGCATGACTTTCCTGGATATAGACACTAGACTCCAATTGATGCAGGCCAAAATCAAATTTGTGTTTTTGCCGCCACATGACATTGTCGACTCATGTTTAACTTGTTGTCCATGAGGACTCCAAGATCTTTTTTACATGTATTGCTCTCGAG